TGCCACAAAGAACAGGGGGTCAAGCTATTCTCCAAAGCACCAGAGAGCAGGACAAGAAACAACCTTTGGAAACTGAACAAACTGAACAAAGAGAAAAGCACCCTGGAATTAAGGAGAAATGTCCTGACAGTGAGGACAATTAACCAGTGGAACAGCTTGCCACCAGAAATCGTGGGCGCTCCATCACTGGAGGTTTTTAAGAAGAGGCTGGACAGTCACTTGTCTGAAATGGTATAGGTTCTCCTGCCTGAGCAGGGGACTGGACTAGAAGACCTCCAAGGTCCCAGCTCTATTCTATTCTATACCCTCTGACTTAAAGAGAACATAGTAAAAGGCTGAATTGCCGATGTCCCCTTTTTTTAATCCTTTCTGTTCTACTTCTAGCAAAGTGACAAATCGCCTCCATCAGCAGGTTCTTTCTTTTCTCCCAGGGAAAAGCCACAGCCTTTTCTCACCATTTTTTTTTTAGATTTTTAGCTTGTACCACTGCTAATGGTTTGAAGGTTCCCCCCCCTCCTGCCTCCTTGTCTTCTTCTTTAACACACTCGCTCCCAGAGCACGTTAGAGAGACGGTTAAGTCTTCTTTGCATTTTCTGTGAAATTCTTGGCGCTTCCCTCTCTGCTGATCATCACTGGGTAGGAACATTTTGATGCTTTTTGGAAATCGATCCATCCCACGGTGATCTAATTCAGAGTTTGCTATAAAGCTGGCGCTTGCAGGCGCATAGGAAATGTCCAAGCGGCGGGGAAATCGGAAGATTCGGGCAGTTCAAAAGAGTGTAAAGATTTATTGCAAGCTTAAGCTCTCTACAAAAATCTGAGCTACTAACGGTCAAGGGAAATAAACGGGAATTAAGAAGGCAGTCAAGGCAGGCTGGACTCTTGTGGGCGCGCAGGGACTCATGACTTACGACGCGTTTGACCCCTCCCTCGGGCTCAGCCTGGTCAACTACCTGAAAAGACTGCAGCCCCTTCCTCTTTCTTCCTCATCGTTAAACTGAGACTCAAAACCTTTTTTTTATTACAGGCAGTCCTCGACTTATAGCAGTTCATTTAGTGACCTTCGAAGTTACAATGGCAGTGGAAAAACTGACTGGTGACCGTTTTTCACACTTACAACTCTTGCAGCATCCCCACTGGGTCACATGATCCAAATTCAGACGCTTCGCAACGGCTTCCTATTTATGACGGTTGCCGTGTCCTGGGATATGTGATCGTCTTTTGCGACCTTCTGACAAGCAAAGTCAATGGGGGAAATCAATGGGATTCCCTTAACGACCGTGTTACTAATTTAACAACTGCAGTGATTCATTTAACAGACGTGGCGAGAAAAGTCGTAAAATGGGACAAAACTCACTTAACAAATGTCTCCCTTAGTAACAGAAATTTGGGTCTCAATTGTGGTCGTCAGCTGAGGACCACCTGTACCCAAATTTAAACAAGATTTTACACCAGTATCATTATAAACTCACCCCCAATAAAAATAGGTGGCATTTTAAAAAAAAGAAACCTCACACGAAGCTATGGACAGGCTTTCCAATCAGTAAGATTATAGGAAGTAATGTATGCACCACGGTTAAAACTGCTACAATTAACAGTTTGATACTTAAATGATTTGGAAATAATATGCATTCTCAAAAGTACGCACGCAATATTAATGTGCATCTGGGCTAGACCTGGCTAGATTTTGACCTGTCTGGGTTCCAGTACTAAAGGCAACAACACGTCATTGAATTTAAAGAGTTAATAAACCTAATAAATGCCCTTTTAATCTATTTAATAGCCATACTTATTTAAAGGGGCTTAAAATAGATTCCTTTTCTTTTGTGTTGAAAGATTACTGAAACCTCAACGAAGAAATGCTGCCGATCGTAATCCGCTAAGTGTTTTAAAATAAGCAAGATACACCGGCTTCCATTTTGCATAGAATTATTGAGGAATTTATTGGAGTTTGAGCAAAAGAATTGGGAGAGGGGGTTGGATTGAGGAAAAACAGGAAATATTGAGGACTTTAATTCAATAGATGTTGCCATCTAAAAGCTGAATAAAGGTATGGATGCAGAAGAGGTGTAAGTAGTAGACACACTAAGATTTGATTTTATTAACAGTTTTACAGCCAGAACAACTAGTCTAAGACCAGACTCTAAGTTCACTGTGTGCAATGTAACATTGCAGATTATTACTACTGTTGCTTTCCATAAAACTAATTCACACTGAAAATGTAAGCAAATTTCAGAATGTAAGTGCAAAAGCGTGGTTGTAATTATATTTTGCTTCATTTGCAAAAAAGGCATTCTTTGGTGTTTGCTTTCCAAAGGCACTTGAAACCATCTTAGCGTCTAATGATGCTTAATTTAAAAGCTTCTAGCCAACCCCACATTGTTTTAAGGCAGCGAAAGTCATCTTCTTTTTAAGCCGTAAAGCGATTTGATTTTGATTTAGCGTGTTGTTCCAAACTTATTAATTTGTGGCTTATCCAACAAATTAAGCAAACTCCAGCTTACCACTTTGCATGAGCGCAGATTCTGATTAAAGCTTTGCATTCGAATTTTGGTCGGTCTGATAAAAATAGCGCTGCAATACAGATTTTGGACAAATAAGGCACATAAATGGGTACTCTTGATGTATTTTCAGTGATGAAGAAAATGAATAAAGAGGGAAGGAAATAGATGGAAGGCCTTCAGCTCAAATGGTCACAAATGCTTCCCTTATTACTTCATTAATTGATGGGTCACAACACAAGGCCTTCAATATATTAATACAAAAGTCTCTTCTAGAATCAAATGAAAAGCACATCACACTACACCGTTAATATGTCCTCATGCTGCAATGTTTCCTTCAGAAATATGGAAGACTCCTAACCTAGCCTTTCAGAAATTACTTAAAACCTGAAGACTGTTCCACCAAGCATTGGGGGTTGAGTGTATGTAGGCTACCATTCGGATAGTTGTTTGCTTCTATTTTATTATCAGGGTCTCTTTGTGAACTGCTTTGAATCCCGTGGACGTGGGTAGTTTATGTATGTATGATATTAAACCACAACAACTTTGCTGTGGAACAGCTGTCTCACTCTGGCCACTTAGCAGACTGTGGGGATAAAAAGTAGCAAATCCCTCCCACTATAGAGGCCTAAATCCACCCCACAGAATAACACAGGCACAACTCCTAGAGGGTAATGCTGGTATGTACAAGGGGTACAACAGCATGGTATTGTCCAGTCAACCAGGTCCAGCTGTAAAAGAAGAGCAGGCAGAGCTAGGGGATGGAATTAAACGTGTCATCAGCTTAGAATCCTTACGTTGCCACGAAGAATCCAAGTCCTCTTGAATTCCGTTGATCCTTATCTGGCACCAGTTTACTATTGGACTTAGTTGACCGGATTCTTGTATATAGGTTTGAATAAATCTTCTGTACTGCAACTTAGCACATGGCACTGATCCTTTCCACCTGACACCAGTTGATTTTGAGAGTCCTGCCCAGCTGAGGTGTTGAGATGAGGTGATAGGGTTGCCCCACTAGGCCCATCTTTGTTCTGAAAACATTTCTGGTGGTCCCTGAGCAGATTTTGTTAGGTGGTGTTCTCGGTGACTACAAACGTTGCTATGGGCTATAGAGAATGTACAGGAGACGTGGGATCTATAAAGTTAAGACCACCGAAACCATCAAATCTTTGAGGTGGAGCAGATGAGGCGGCAGGTTCCACAAGGGTTATTGGAACTCTATTTTAAACAACAATCTCGAAAGCCTGCCAGAATTTTTTCTCTGACCCCCCTTATACCTTACAGAATCAAAATCCACTCATGCTCTTTAGTTTATTTCTCACTCCTTACTCTCTCAAGGCCAGCTGATGCTACTTAATAGCTGTTGAACATCTTCTTCAAGGCCATCTCGCTACTCCTCTACAGAAAAAAAGACCTGTGTGACATTAGTTTTACTGTACTTGACAGGATAACACAGGGCATGAAGTACCAGCTTCAGATGTTTAATAGACGTGGCATTGTGGACTGGAAAGAGAACATACTTCAAGTCTCAACAAAACTTGGGAGAAAGGCTGTGACAGAGAGGTGTCTGACAGAAGCGTACTTTATTCCCATCGCTTGCTTCTGCCTTATAAAATGCTCCAATTAAGGAAGAGCAAGGTGAAAAGAGAACAATGGTGAAGCCACTGAGAAAAACAACCTTTGCATCTAGTTTAGGTGTGTCCAAACAATGGCCTGGTCCACATCTGGCCTCGGAGAGCTGATAATGCAGCCCCACAAGATCATAAACATTTAACATTCTTAGGTGATTTTTTTTTTAGCAATATTTGTAGACATCAACTGTGTATTTTATATGTGGTCCAAGACAATTCCTCTTCGCTCAGGGCTGCTCAGGCAAGCCAAAAGGTTGGACAATCATTGTCGAGATGATCACTGGTCCTATTCCTGACATACTTAGAAAGTCAGAAATCCTATGACTTCCGTGACTGTTAAGATCTTGAGGACAGATAATCAACTCTCTGGCTTAGCAACTCAAGATAAAATGGCTTCGAATGTCCTTATGTCACCTTTCTCCCTTTCGGCTTCTCTCTTTGCTCCTCGTAACATTCAAATTAAACCCAGATGTCCTTTCTGCAGCAGAGATGTCATACTGAATAACAGAATAACAGAGTTGGAAGGGACCTTGGAGGTCTTCTAGTCCAACTGCCTGCTCAAGCAGGAGACCCTATATCATTTCAGACAAATGGTTGTCCAGTCCCTTCTTAAAAGCCTCTGGTGTTGAAGCACCCACAACTTCTGAAGGCAAGTCGATCCCCCTGGTTAATTGTTCTCACTGTCAGGAAATCTATCCTTAGTTCTAGGTTGCTTCTCTTCTTGATTCATTTCTATCCATTGTTTCTTGTCCTGCCTTCAGGTGCGTTGGAGAATAGGTTGAGACCCCTTCCTCTTTGTAGCAGCCCATCAAATATGGAAGGAAACAATGTTCAAGTTTACCATGTGCAAATTAAACCAATATACGAGTTAACATAATGGACATTGTTTATTAGGAATACAGGCCAAGAATGTTAAAACCATAAACCAAACGTAAGGAGTAAAGCAACAACGGCATTACATAAAGAGCACTTCCAATAGCTTTCTTAATCAAATAGCCGAAGCCTAATTTTTTTTTGGAAAACAATGGGATTCTCTTTCCTCATAGACATGGTTTGGTATGCAACAAGAAAATTACAGGGCAATCATAATACAGTGCATTTCCAGCCCTTAATTTATAAGAGGCTGTAGAAAGACACATTTTTTCCTTTGGAGGAGTGTCCTCCGATCCTTTCCCCAAGAACATATTTTTTTAATTTTTACATATCAGCTGCTTTCATGATTAAAATTTAGGATAATTGCATGATAACTATTAGTAAGGGGTGTATCCTGCAGATGATTTTAAGATGGCATAATTTCAAAATGTAGAGTGCATTATGTTTATTTGTTTCTGATCTGCAATCAGTCTTTACTCCAATATTACTAGGGTGTTTTAATCTTCTGACATTAAGCTTTTCTTCGCACTTGATTGGATACAAAGATTAAGACAAACAATCCTAAGCGTTTCAAGTAAAATATCTTTTGAGTACAATCAGAACAATCTTAACAGTTTGCTGGAGGATTAAATTATAAACACGGAAGTCATATTTTGGAAAGAGATAAATGACGATCAGACTTATTCAAGTGGCACAAGGGTTGGGTGGGTTTTTTTTTTCTCTCTCTCTGAAACTTCAATTTATGTAGGACTGACTTTTCAGGAAAGACAGTTATAAGGAAAGAAAGTGAGAATATGGAATGCATGCAATACGATCTACCGGTAGAGTGGAATTTGTTAAATACAGTAAAAGATAGTGGCGAATATATACAATCAATCCTCTGAAAAGGGCTTAATGCTAATCGCTTTACAAATAAATTAAAAAACAACAACATTTCCAGATTTACAAACACCACAGCAAAATGCTTCCCTCAGTCTGTATATGATTTGGTAGGTTAATTTGGATCTTAATGTTAGTTCCTTCATCACGATATCAAGGTTGATCACATAGCATCAAAATGGAATCGGTGAGCTTCTTGCCTTTTCTCGCGATCGTCTGCTTTCTGGAACAACGGCAACAATAAAACGGTTATTTTAGGGAAAAATAAATACGCCTTTGGTGGCTGCACCTAATGTTGATGACCAGAATTAATAAAGAATCAGACAAAATGATGACCATAAGAGATAATGCTGGAATGCTTACTAAAACTCTTGATGAATAGTAGTTTATATAGTAGAGTTGTGGTGGCGCAGTGGTTAGAATGCAGCATTGCAGGCTGACTCTGCCCACAGCCTGGAGTTCAACAGATAAACCTTGAATCTGACCCAGCATGGCTTTGCTTTGTATTCTTAACCAAGGAGAAGTTTAAAACAGGCTGGGATATGATGGTGATGTCTGAAGGTGGCATGTGAGACATGCATCTTTACCATCTCATCCTTAACCTGACAAGGTGTTTTTGCTCCCTGTGGATGAACCAGGACTTCAGGTTGACGGTGCTGCTTTGGATTTTACTGTCAGCCCCTGTACCCTTCAGGGAAAGTGTGGCTTTCAGGTGTTAATCACACTCTGACTTCTTGGCAGTAACGTGCTTCTGCCACAAAGGTTCTGACATGTCTGAGTCTATAAAAACACCCCATGACACATTCCCTTCCACCCATCCATTATCTCGGCGAAGAATTCACGCTGCATAATGGGCCGCTGTACTTGCCTGCCTTTCCTCTTTTCCATTCTTAATTCTGAACCCGTTGTATTGTCTCACAGATGACATTTTCAAAAGGTTATTTTGCAGCTTTTCATTAATGCAGGGATCTAAACAGCAGACACGTTGCCCGTAGTGGTGCAGCGCGCCAGGTCGGGATTCGCTCAACGGAGCTGTAACGGGTACATCTGATCCTGCTTAAAGGCAACCAGCCACGGCTTATTTATTTATTTTTTTAAGAATTGGCAGTGAAAAGCCATGATTTTTTAGGCCGTGAAACCCTGGCTTGCTTTGCGAGTGAAATTATAATCGCCAAAACTCAGAATAAATCAGAAGTGGGGCTATTTTTGTTTGCTTTGGGTTTCCGTATAGTAGCTTCTTGTCGGATACTGGAATAAAAGGCTAAACCCATTCGCAAACAAAGTCACTCGTTAAATGACTGCTGTCGTCATTAAGTGAACATCAAGGATCTTAAATGAACCAATTTGTTCGTTTATGGCCAGTTTTGCCAAAAACTGGAAGGAAATGCTGGATTAGGGGAAAGATGTCATAAAACAGGGTCATGTGATCACAAGACTCTGCAAAGGGCTACAAATGCAGGCCAGTTGCCAGGTGCCCAAGATGCGTTGGGGAAGAACTGGGAAATACTGTATAAGCCTTGGTGAAGACCTCCAACTAGGGATAGCTAGCTAGATAGGGGGGTTAGGAACGTTCCCCTCTGGGGTGCCTCCATATCTAGGAGTTGGGATTTAAGTGCCCGTTGAGTTTTGGTAATTATGCAGGCTCTTAAGTGCTCGCCTGGGGTGCCAAGAATGCTTTTGAAAGACTTGGTGTGCCGAGCAACTGTAAAAGAAAGCGGGGAAGGGGTGAATCGACCAGAAATGGGTCACACAAGGCATCGTTGATTTACTTCTCCGCAGGAAATGCTTCTGGCATGTTAAAAGAACTACACCACAGCAATTCCCATTTAGCCTTAATTGCGAAGCACACAGATGCTTTCTCGGTTGCGTCCCATCTCCTGTACCACAGAGGGGAGGAGAAAAAAAAAAAGGGCTATCCTAAACTATACTTAATTTGAACCATTCCTGTCGGGAAAATTTTGCTGCTGAAACTCGGGCTTGGAAGAAGCAAAACAAAGCCTTCATCCTATAGGCCGGTTTTTCTTTCATGCTGGTCCAGTTTCCATGCCGTTCATCAAAACGGGCACTTCCTTGGGCGCTAAAATAAGTGTGCCCTTCGCTCTATTGTTTTCTGTTTCTTTAAAAAGCCCAGCAGCCAATGGATGGATTATAATGCTCCCTTTAGAACTTAAGGGTCGAAGAAGAGCAAAATAATGTTTGTGCTGACATAGTTTGGCATATAAAGTCGGCTGTTGTCTCAAGGACAATAGCTGTACGTCCTGCCTGCTTCTCGGTGCTAAGGCTGTGCAAGGATCCATGGTTAGAGCTTGGCTAATTTGCAAGCAAAGCCTTTGGAGACGCTAAACTAGGTTACTTTATGTCCTCCATGACAAACAACGAGCCATCGCGAGCCTCAAAGATGTAATCAGATCCACAGGTATGATTATGGCTCGCCCAGACAGCAGCGCTTTCTGTCTATCCTGCCGCTGAACGGCTAGCTATGAATAGAAAGCCCTGTGAGAAATGGGGACAGGCTTTTTCCTTTGTGGCGCTGAAAGGAAGCTTTTTAAGTAACTTCTGGGAATCGATGCGTTTCAACAGAGTAAAATAGCAGCTTTGCTCCTGGTTGGTGATATATCTCTGTTTTGAAGCTTGTCAATAAGGAAGCCAGCAAGGGCACTTAATTCAGAGGGAAGAAGCTGCTTTTTATTGCAGCCGAGCTAAACCAGAAAAAAAGGGGCTGATTTAAATTTCGGTCATCGCCCGGAGCCGCAAGGAATGAAAGACCCCCCACGGGCAGGGGTCACCCAAATGTTTCCAGCTCAGCAAACTTCTAAAAGGCCATTTTAATCCCGCCCTTTAATGTTGGAGAGCAAATTGGGAGAGCAGAAGACTCCTGATCTTCTAATCCTGCCAACGCTCACCTTTCCCACACATTCCCTAATTAACCGAAGAAAGGAAGGGAGGAAGGAAGGAAGGAGGACAGAGAGAAGGAAGGGAGGGAAGATAAGAGAGACAGAAGAAAGGGAGGAAGGAAGCATGGGAGAAAGGAAGGAGGAAAGATGGAAGGAAGGAAGGAAGGAAGGAGGGAAGGAAGGAAGGAAGGAAGGAAGGAAGGAGGGAGGGAAGGAAGGAAGGAAGATTATGGAAGAAAATGCTGTAGCTTAAAAAAAACTCCAAAAAACTTGGTGTAAAAAAGGAGGATTTATTGAGAAAGTCTTCCTGAGGCTTGCTATCTATTTCAGACCTTAAAAACACTTGGAGCTTCCAAAAATAAAAATCAAGTTAGTTTTTCACATATGGGGGGGTCTCTTAAGGGATAAACCTAAGTTTATGTTATCAGTGTCATGCCTTGAACTCCGGCTAAGTGGAAAATATTTGTTCTGTCCGCAACAATGACTTGACTTCTAAAGACTGATAACCATGTGGTTTTGTTGGGATTTTGCCTTCTGCACTGGGTAGTCTATTATTGTATTTTGGCCGCCAAGCCTTACCATTTTTATACAGGGGTGTACAACTTAAGCCGTGAGGTCACCCCCGGCCTTGGTCACCTCCAACCACTGTTACAGAAATGTGACAGGAAGGGAAAGTGATTAAATACATGACTGGAGAATAAATCCACGGCCTATTTACATAACAGATACATGTAGAGGGAAGGGGAAGAAATATGGCTTCAGTCCTGGAGCAGCGTTCCAGTAAATTTGGGAAATGCATCCTGTGAGCAGGTCAGGTAAAGGCTGAGTGTTTCCATTAGCCTGGAAAATGTTGTGCAGCCCTGACTTGGTATGTTGCATGGACTCCAGCTGAGCAAATTGTGTCTTTGTGCCATGGGAAAACTCATCTAAAATTTAAAGAGTAGCTTTAAAAATTTAATTTTAAATTAGATTTAAATGAATTTAAATTTAATTTAAAATGTAAAGCCGCCGTGGTGGTGCAGTGGTTAAGATGCAGTATTCTAACTCTGCCCACTGCCAGCAGTTCGATCTCGACTGGCTCAGCCTTCCATCCTTCCGAGGTCGGTATAACGAGGAACCAGATTGTTGGGGGCAGCAGGCTGACTCTGTAAACTGCTTAGAGAGGGCTGTAGAAGTACTATAAAGCGGTATATAAGTCAGTGGTGGAGAACCTATGGCACGGGTGCCAGAGGCGGCACTCAGAGCCCTCTCCGTGGGCACGCACGCTGTCACCCCAGTCCTAGGCCTTCAGCTGGGTTTTATAAAACCTTTTCGCTTTAGGCCTCCACCGCCGTGTGCAAAAAAAAAAAAAAAAGGTTCAATCAGTCAATTTCAACTTCTCCCGGGAAAAAAAAGATCTTGCAAAGTTGGAATTGATTGATTGAACTTTCTAGTCCCACCCAGTCTGCCGTTACCACCGCAGCCACGCCCACCCAGTTGGCCATGCCCACCCAATTGGCCATACCCAGCCAATGGGCCACACCCACCCGGCACTCGACGATGCATAAGTGGGTTTTGGGTTGTAGTTTGGGCACTCGGTCTCTAAAAGGTTCGCCATCACTGATATAAGTCTAAGTGCTATTGCTATTCTTTCTACTTTCAAGTCTCAGCATGATTCAAGAGATTCAAGTCTCTTTCTAAATGTGGCCTTAGCTTGACGAGCAAGGTAGAAAAATATTGACAAGCTTACCTTCTCCTGCCAGTGCAGTATGCCAATTATGGCTAAAATGAAGACACAGACTCCAATTAAGGCAATTGCTGTTAGCAGTACAATGTTACTGGGGGTCAGGTACAGCTTCGCACTCCAGCTGGGGGAAAGAGAAAAATCCAAGATAAATCAGTGGTCCTGTAGACGGTCATGAAGAGAAAATCTTCCGCAGGTGATGAAGAAAGCTAAGGCAGAAACAGATGTCTGACCCATAGCCTCCCTCATGTGGAGCTTTAGAGGGTGTAAAGGTGCCAGTAACAACTTCTCTCGGTTTCCCAGCACATCTGTCACGTCAGAGTAACGTTTGAACTTGTATTTTGAAGCTGTTGACTTACTGCAAAGTTCACACGTGCAAACAGAATCAACAGGGAAAAGTGAAGAAAACCGGGCGGCAGAAAGAAAACAAGGAAATAAGCCAATTTTCCAAGAATGAGTAATAACAACTCGCGGGACCGCAAAATAGACAACAGTTATAGAAAAATGAAGATGTTAAAAGGCTCTGGGACTTTGGAATTCAAAGCGACAAGCATTTGCTACATAACAGCCCGGACTTAACAACTGTCAATAAGAAAGCCAAAAAAAATATATAATGGATGTAGCACCTGGAGACAGTGTAATAGAAGAGGACTGGGGAAAATCATAAAATACGAGGACCATAGTAGGAAAAAAAAAAAAGGAAGAAAGAAAGATAGTACTAATCGTGATGGGCGCCTTGGGTACAATTCCCAAACATCTGGAGCACCATTTGAACACCATTGGCGTTGACAATCACCATCAATCAATTCAAAAGGCAGCTTTACTCAGAACAGTTTCCCATCCTGCGACAATGCCTTCAACACCCTCAAACAACAACATCTGCCTGTTCCGGGTTCTTGGGAAGCACTCGATAGGAGGATAAAACTGCCAAATCCAGTCTAAACATCTGGCTAATTGTGCCACAAACCATCGTAGTAAGAATATTTACATTCTCAATTTCTATCTGATTATGGGAAGGGATGCATGGATGGCGAATTAGCAGGTTTTACGATATGAGAGGGTTATAACTAGGCACAGGCCATTTAAAGCCTTTCTCTCTCTCTCTCTCTTGGTTCTCTTCCTAGAATCCATAATGTTTCCTTTCACAGGTTCAGCAGGCACGTTTCGGTTGTCTGAACCAAAGTAAAGGAAGGCAGCTCTTTCCTTCAGCCTCGCAGACGTAACGTTTAGGGAACGCCAATACAGGGGGTCCTCGGCTTACGACTGGCTTCCCCAATTTGACTTTGCTGGTGGGAAGGCTGCCACAGGGGAACCCCTTGATCCTGGGACACTGCAACCGTCACAGAGATGAATTTTGATCACGTGACTGTAGGGATGCCGCAAGCCTCGTAAGATGTGCAAAATGGTCGTAAGTCGCTTTTTTTCAGTGCCGATATAACTTCAAACGGTCACGAAATGAACTGTTGTAAAGTTGAGGACCACCTGTATATCTTAATTCAGATCACTCAGATGCCTCGTGGTAGACTAAGAAGACCATTCTCTCCTCCTCCTCGCCATTCATAAATAATTATAGGTAAGGTTTTTTGAAATAAAAATATAAAATGTATGTGTGTATACACATGCACATACACATCATGTAGCTCAGGGTTGAAATGAGGGGTCCTTGGTGCTCTCTGAGCTTGGCTGTTTTCTTGCAGACGTTTCATGACCCAAACTAGGTAACATCATCAGTGCTAGAAGAGGGGGGATTTGCAGAGAGGAGGAGGAGGAGGAGGAGGGAGGGAGGGAGGGAGGGAGGGAGGAGGAGGAGGAGGAGAAGGAGGGAAAAAGCGATGGTTGCCCTGTATTTAATTGCTTGGCAAATGGCTGCATAGATTATTGGAAGTTCATAAATAGTATGTCAATATACAGCAGCGAGGGGCCATTTAGTCACTCATGGATCATCGTGCGCTTTTCTCAGAACGAAAGCCGTTTGATATCGATTGCACTTAATGCATTTCAGCACAATGAAATCTCCCTGCCCAATTCACGGAGAGCGATTCCAGCTCGGGCATATGGAAAATAACACCGTTATTTTGAGATACTCATTCAAAAGAGATGCTCCAATCGTTTCTCCCAATTCTCTCTAGTTAAGTCTTTATTCTTTCTCTTGCTTTTTTAATAATAATAATAATAATAATAATAATAATAATAATAATAATAATAATAATAATAATAATAATAATAATAACAATAATAATGAGACGGTGCGTGCTGAATTGGAATAAACGATGCTCTTTTTACCACCCCAAGCTTTCCTAAACCTCCAGGCGATTTATTTACTAAATTAATTGACAGCTAGTTCTCGTCTTATGACCTGAGGCCGGAATTACAGCTGTAGCGTGCTGGCTGAGGATTTCTGAGAGTTGAAGACCGGATGTCTTAAAAGTGGCCAAACTTGAGAAGCACTGGGGTTATACAACCTGAATTAGCAACTTTAAGAAAACCAAAACTGGTTACTTTACAAGTCGCTTCCAAAACAGGGCCAGTGGAGGATTATAAAGACACACTTGACTTAGAAATATATCTGCAAAAAAACCCAAAACCAAACTAAACCCCCCCCCAAAAAACCTACCTGCCTTTCCTCATCGACTTCTCTATTTCTAGAAATATTTCTTATCCACGCAGCCTTCATTTTTTCTCAACCAACTGCCCTACGATTACATTATAAAACAAATGCTCAAGTTCCAAATGTTCATAAACCCTGATCTTTTTTTTTTTATTAACAAGAATGGTTTTGTTTTAAGATTATTATAAAGATTTATCAACTGTTGAGGTCAGCCTCTACGATCAATAAATTTTAAACAGACCGAAAACTGAAATCCATGTGGTCTTTTTAGAACACACATCAATCTGGAATGGCAGTTCTTCAGTAAACGCCAGGAGTAAAATAACAGGATAATGATTAAAATTCGTTGGGAGGAAGAACTCTTTGACACCCGAATACTTATTGTTCATTTGAAAGAAGGAGTATCACAACTCGAGGCATTGCTTTGTTGAGCTGAGATCTTATTACAAGAATCTCATGATGCTTTACCATGCCTTGAGTCATCAGAGCTTAAATTAGATTTCCAAGTTATCTGAACTCCTTGGGATAGTTTTGCGTGCTATTTTCATTGTTCAAACCCTTGAATGCCTTTTGTTACTTTTACATGAAGGCATCAATTTTCCTAAGTATATAGCTCGAAAAAGGAATTTGTAATATGTGGCAGGATACTTTGAAAAGTTGTATTTACTCCACTGTATCTGTCAGGCGCGAACAGTCAGACCTGCACGCGTAGAGTTCAAACTAGCTACTTTATTGTTCTCTGCCTATAATGCAGGAATCACCCCAGATGGCAGCTTTTGCCTAGGAAAGACCAAATAAGGCTCAAAGGCATCCAGGGAGGGTCAGACTTTGCTCTCTTGGGTTTATGTAACAATTCCAAGCTAATTCCCCTCTTGAGCCTTGACAAGAACGGCTACCCTCCAACTGTATCTAACCCTTTACTACGTGTGGAAGAGTGAATTCATCACCCAGAGTAAGTAGGAATATTTCTTTCTTATGGGTTCCAGAGTTTTTTGGGCTACCTGGATTAAAACAGCCTGACCTTCTCCTTCATTGGAGAATTTGTTTTATAAAAAGAAACCGAAAGCAAGTGTGTGTGTGGTTGTGTCAAGGAAGGAGTTACGCCAGGAAGGACAGCAGACCATGGAGTCCTAGGACTCCAGGGTTCAATTGTGAGCTGCATATATTCTCTTCTATTGGAGACAGTAGAGCCTGATGCTGGGAAAGATGGAGGGCAAGAGAAGAAGGGGACGACAGAGAATGAGGTGGCTGGATGGAGTCACTGAAGCAGTAGGCGTGAGCTTAAATGGACTCCAGAAGATGGTAGAGGACAGGAAGACCTGGAGGAACGTTGTCCATGGGGTTGCGATGGGTCGGACACAACTTCGCAACTAACAACAAAGAGATGTGGGAAAGAGACACAACCGTAGCAATACCGATAATCCTTGACTTACAACCACAACTGGGACCAGAATTTCCATCGCTAAGCAAGGCGGTTGTTCAATAAATCACTGCAACTGTACAGTGAATCATGCAGTCATTAAGTGATTCTGGCTTCCCTCGTTGATTTTGCTTTTCAACAGCTGGCTGGGAAGGCCACAAATGGCCATCATACGACCAGGGGAACTGCAACTGTCATAAATACATACTGGTTGCCCAGCATCCCAGTTCTGATCGCATACCGTGGAGACGTTGTGACAGTCCTAAGGGCAAGGGCCAATGGATCAGTCCCTTTTTTCCCCCAGCACTGTAGTAATTTTGAGCGGTCGCTAAATGAAGGGTGGTTAAGTCAAGGACCAGCAAGTGGAAACTTCAATTCTTGGAGCTGCAAGACGACTGAGAGATGAGGGAGAAAGAAAGGAGGATGGAGAAAGACCAGACCAAGTCCATTGCGAGCAGCAATCCAAGTGCAGGGCTTTACACACCAACTCCAGATATAGAGAACTCTTAAGTGCTGGAAGCGAAAAGCCCATTTGCACATTTCTAAAGGAACAGGGGTGGGGTGTGTAGGGGATGAGTGGTTTTCACATGCAAATGGACTGAGATGCGCTACACAAGTCTGGGGGGGGGGGGAAAGGAAAGATGTAAAGAGCTAAGAAATAGTTACAATTAAATAGTTACAATTAAAAAAAAATAGTGTTGCCAGCACAGAAATAGGAACGTAGAAACAGAACCCAGAGACAGAAATTTATAGCTTCAATAAGAATAGCAATAGTTGTAAACTGGTAAGGAAGACAGCAGAAGGAGAGAGAGAGAGAGAGAGATAGGAAAATAAAGGCAAGCCCAGAATTAGTCTTAAGTTTAGAAAAAAGGAATGGGAGCTGAACTTTATGCAATAAGATAGCTTTTGGGTAGAAAAAAAATCACACACAGTTTTTGTGTTCGGTACGGTATTAAGAAAAACTGTCACAGACGGTTTTTATAAGTGGGATTTGGTACAAGTATCCAGGGGCTGAGAGTAAATGGTGTGCATGGAAAAAAAAGAAAAAGAAAGAGAAAGGATATCCAGTCCCTGAGAGAAAACAGATGGGGAGACAAAAGGTTAGAGATTTAAAGGCAAGTTGGAGAATACTGGCTGGAGTCTTATATCCCCAGGCTGGAGCTTAGATAAATGAAATGCAAAAAAAGAGGGTCAACCAAAACCTGTGAAGGAAGAAGTCAACTCTGAAAGGAAACCAAACCCATCTGAAGTCCTGGCAGGTACAGGTAGTCCTTGACTTACAATCACAATTGAACCCAAAATTTCAGTGGCTAGGTGAGACATTAGTTAAGTGAATTTTGCCCCATTTTACAACCTTACTAAAGGAATCACTACTTTGGTCAAGCTAGTCACACAGTTGTTAAGTGAATCTGGCTTCCACATTGGACTTTGTTGGGTCACAAAAGGGGATCTCACGATCCCGGGGACGCTGCAACTGTCACAAATGTGAGTCAGTGGACAAGCATCTGGATTTTGATCACATGATCCTGGGGGTGCCGCAACGGTCATAACTGTGAAAAACGATCGTAGGTCACTTTTTTTTTTCAGTGCCACTGCAACTTTGAAGATAAGATAAGATAAGATAACCTTTATTGTCATTTTTTTTACTGTGGGCACAACAGCACACATCAAAAATGAAATTTAGTTGCCCTCTCTCAAAGTGAAACACATACATGATATCTAAAATATACTACGTACAACATATGTATAGACCCACACCCCTACATATACATAGCAAATAAATATTAAATACTGTCCATCTTGAATATATAACGGAAGGAGGAAGCTTGAGAGTTCACAAGGTTAATGCTGTATGGAATGACATTATGGCTGAATCTGGATGTTCTGCTTCAGATACCACGATGCCCCCCTCCTCCCAGAAGGTAACAAGAAAAACAGGTCGTGAAGAGGATGTGTAGTGTCCCACACAATCTTGCGGACCCTGCTCAAACAACGCTTCTGTGCTATGTCCTGGATGGGACGGAGGGAACTGCCAATAATCTGTTCAGCCACCCTCACCACTCTCTGCACCGCCTTCCTGTCTGAAGCAGTGATGCCTCCAAACCAGACTGTGATGCTGTAGGACAGGATGCCCTCGATCGTCCCCCTGTAGAAAGTGGTCAGGACAGGGGAAGGAAGATGTGCTTTTCTCATGCGACGCAGAAAATGCAGGCGCTGCTGTGCCCGCTTCACCAGTTTCTCACTGTTGAGCGACCAAGCCAGCCTGCTCGTTAGCTGCACACCCAGGAATTTGATGCTGGTAACAGTCACCACAGGTGAATCATTTATGCACAGAGAAGTGTGGCTGTGGCTGCCTTTTCTGAAATCAACAATGATCTCTTTGGTTTTCCCGGTATTTAAAACTAGGCTGTTTTAAGTTGTTGCAAGTTGAGGACTACCTGCATTATGAGGGAGATGGTGTGGCTCCAAGGCAAGGAGAGGAAAAATGGCTAAAAGAGAGGAAGGAGGAGGAAGGACAGTCCTCAGAAAGGAGAAGGAAGACAGTTGATGGAGGGAAACCACGTAAAGAGACCACTTAGAGAAAGCAAGATCAGAAAGGGAGACCTGAAGAGAGGCGTCCAAGAAACTCAGCGATTCTTAGAGCAGGGCTTTTCAACCAGTGGTATGGGTACCACCTGTGGTACATTGGCACTTGGCAGGTGGTACGCGACCATCCTAGAAAAGTGGTAGCGGAGGAGGGGAATGAGCTGAACCGATGGCAGCACCGCACAAGCCTGAGCGAGAGACGGCTGGAGCTGCAGGGCTGTCAGCGGAAGCGCCAGGATCAGTGCCGCTTTCCAGCTGATCGGTGCTTCTTCGGGGCTGTCCGGGCTCAGTGGAAGCGCCAGGATCAGCGCCAGGCTCCAGCTGGAGCTCGGCGCTGATCCTGGCCCTTCTGCTGAGCCCTGAAGAAGCACCAATCATCTGGAAAGCAGCACTGATCCTGGCGCTTCCGCTGAGCCCAGAAGAAGCGCCGATCAGCTGGAATGTTGCAGCCTCTCCAGGGTCTTGTGATTTACATTCAGATGCTTGGCAACTGATTCACATTTATGACGGTCACAGTGTCCCAGGGTCATATGAAGTGACCAAAACCTGCTGCAACCACCCAGCAGACGGGGGGAATAAAAACCAAACACCCCCCCACCCCACCCCCACTGCCAGTCCTCAACAGAAATGCTCACAACAATGAAAACCTCGAACAGGAGGAAGAGCGCCGCCGGGCGGGCAGGCAGGTGTCTTGCTCGGCTGTGGCTTGGGGGGCACTTTTTTCAGCGCCATTGTAACTTCGAACAGTCACTTAGCGAACTATTGTAAGTCGAGGACTACCTGTATTTTATCACTTTTTTCCTTTTGGGGGGGGGTCATCAAGTTTTTGACACCTTGCTAGGTGACTGGTGGTACTTGGATATTGCCATATCCTAAAAGTGGTACAGTGAGTGAAAAGGTTGAAAAGCCCTGTCTTAGAGGAGCAGAGTCACCTGGCGAAGGAAAAGAAAAAAAAAGCTGAGTCTGCAAATCCAGTTTCTGGGGTAGCAAGGGAAAGACCTTGAGCGACAAGTAGTCTTGTAAAGGAGCGCTGGCACTGATGACGTTACCTAGTTTGGGTAATGAAACGTCTGCAAGAAAACAACCAAGCTCAGAGAGCACCCAGGACCCCTCAAATATTCTCTTCTATCGGTACCACATTTAAAAAATAGTTTTAATTGAATATAACTGGGGGAAGGGATTGAGAACATGCATGACATTTAGGGTGTTGGGTTGCCGATCCCTGCTAGAAAATGGTATTTGTTTCTGGGACAAATGTGTAGGATTGTAAAGCGTGCCCAGCCTATAATTTGGGATGGGGTTTTTTTTGGGGGGGGGGGAGCGTTCTGCGCGAACTAAATATGCTGATTTTATTTTTCCAGGTTGCAAAGAATTCTGCAAGAGGAGGAAACTATCAGGTCTTATTGGAAGGTATGTGAGCAAACATGCATGAAAACTCACCTAGCGAACTTAATTTGGCTGAAATGAAGAGCACATACCTTCGAGGAAGATGATGAGGAAATGGAATGACAATAAGCTGGGAATTCGGGATGATAGCGGTCCATTCTTGTTTTCTGATAGCCTGTAAAGAAGAAAGGTCCCCCAAGGGAACACTTGTTAGTTCATCTTACTAAATAAAATGATGCCGCAGAAACCAAATTAATTCATTTTATTTACAGCATTTAAACAAATACTTTTTTTTAAAAAACCATTTCGTTAAGATTTTAATTTAACTTAAATTTGATAAATTAAAATAAATAAAATGCTGCAGTTCTCTGAAAACGGGCTAGTTCTCAAAAAGAATTTTTGCCCCCTCTGTGTTTTTCCTTTAATAAGTTCCAAGGAATTTTACTGATGGTGGACAATGCCATCCTTGTTGGTAAACTCCAAAAATTTCTGGGGGCAGAGGGGGAAAAGATTTGTTTAAATTCCCCTGGGAATTTTCATGCAAGCAAGATGGAGGGACTCAGTTACAGCGGTGGTGGGTGCACCGTTGGAACACCTGAAGGACCAGGATGGAGAAAATCATCTATCTGGTGGCTAAGAGTTGATGCCTGCTTGAAGGCATATAATCAACGATCACATAAATCCACAGTTTGCAGCATTGGAGAATGCAATTCACACCAAAATAATACTAATACTAATAATACTAATACTAATAATAATACTAATAATACTAATAATAATAATAATGTTATTATTGTTGTTTTGTTATTTCTTCTTCTTCTTCTTCTTCTTCTTCTTCTTCTTCTTCTCCTCCTCCTCCTCCTCCTCCTCCTCCTCCTCCTCCTCCTCCTTCTCATTATAGTTGGAAGGGACCTTGGAGATCATCTAGTCCAACCCCCTGCTCAGGCAGGAAACCCTATACAATTTCAGACAAATGGTTGTCCAGTCTCTTCTTTAAAACCTCCAGTGATGGAGCACCCACAGCTTCTGGAGGCAGGTTGTTCCACTGATTAATTGTTCTCACTGTCAGGAAATTTCTCCTTAGTTCTAGGTTGCTTCTCTCCTTGGTTAGTTTCCCTCCGTTGCTTCTTGTCCTGCTTTCAAGTGCTTTGGAGAATAGCTTGACTCCCTCTTCTTTGTGGTAGCCCCTGAGATATTGGAAGACAGCTAGTCCTTCTCTTCATTAAACTGGACATACCCAATTCCAATCTCTCAGGGGCTGCCACAAAGAAGAGAAAGTCAAGCTATTTTCCAAAGCGCCTGAAGGCAGGACAAGAAGCAACGGATGGAAACTAATCAAGGAGAGAAGCAACCTGGAACTAAGGAGAAACTTCCTGACAGTTAGAACAATTAACCAGTGGAACAACCTGCCTCCAGAAGCTGTGAATGCTCCAACACTGGAAGTTTTTAAGAAGAGACTGGACAGACATTTGTCCAAAATTGTATAGGGTTTTCTGCCTGAGCAGGGTGTTGGACTAGATGACCTCCAAGATCCCTTCCAACTTTATTATTATTATTATTAATAATATTATTATTAATAATAATAATTCCAGCAACCGTTCCTTATGTTTTAGCCTCCAGTCCCCTAATCATCTTTATTGCTCTTCTCTGCACTCTTTCTAGAGTCTCAACATCTTTTTACTCTATGTCTATTACTCTATACATAAGAGAAGAACCCAACATGATTTGATTCCAGGGCATGACCCTGAAACATAACACACAGATTTATCTTAAATATTAAGATAATTCCATGCAGGGTAGTGCTTTTAACGTACCTTTTCCCCCAAGGGACGAGGGATGCCGACGAATAAACGATCAAGAAAATTAGCGCTTCGACCCAGACCTAAAACAGTATATGGAAGCTGCAGGGCGAAGTGTGCAGACTGACTCAGCTGTCCAGCTAGAATGCAATTAAAAAAAAAATGGCACAATGAATATGTTGCTTAAGGCCTTCAAAAGAAATGCCGTTTCGCTACCAGTTGATTGCCTGCCACTAAAATTGTACATCGAAAAGAATCTCACAGTGACATTCAGCATTTATGCAGCGGGGTAAAAGCTCAAAGCTCTTTGTGTTATTTTTTGTCATTTTCTTTTTTTTTACAACAAGCCTGTTTAAGCTAGAACAGGAAGAGTAGTGTTGCTTTCAGCTTGCGCAACATGGACGGGAAGCTTTGTGTCCTTTTTCGTGTAATGCCATTCAGGGCGCCTGTCATTATGGTGAAATTGGAAACGAAGCCATTACTTTTTAGCGGAAGCATTTCTGGAATGGTTTCGCTGCTCAACAATAGACTTGATTATATGAATCACGGAGCCGAATTTGCTGATAGGCTGTTTCAAGCAGGCAGGGAGAAGGGGAAACAGCCTAACAGACCAACTAGGCTAAAAAACAAACACCGAAGTCACGTTGGAGAGGAGTAAGTCACCTTGACCCATTCATTTCATCTTGTTAGTTATGAGCATGACATTTCTTCTGGGTCTCATGTGCTCCAACGCATGCACATAAATTAAATTAAGCAATCCGAGATGACTTGAAAATTACAGCCCGATAAATCACGGCTTGGGCAATAGGTTGGAACTCACAGATAGAATTTTGCCTCTGCTGCTAGGCAGCCTTATCAACCTTAATTCATTCTCTGGCACATTTCTTTCTTTCTTTCTTTCTTTTTTTAAAACAATCTTGGATGTTTGACGTGGGGTCGTTCTACCTCCCAATAGGAAAGGACAATAGACAAAACTTTTCATGCACTGGACACCTGGTTGATATTTTTTGACTTGGCATTCATTCAAAGCTATTGGGAACTCTGTTTTTCTGGGTAAACAAGGAAGAGTTTCCCATCTGATCTTTGGCTTATTAAAGTGGATCCTTGAGGCATAAAACCCGACACGGAAGCTGATCTTGATGTAAGCAGGTTGTCTTTGCTGCAATACCACTATTCGCATGAATGAATCCTTAATAGTTCATTTATTGCATCTTTATTTACAGGGGGTCCTCGACTTCCAACCATAATGGAGGCTGGCAATTATGCTTGTAAATCATGATGGTTGTAAAGCATGTCACCATATGACCGGACCTGATTTTACAACCTGCTTTGCTGTAGTAGTTACGAGCGAAGGGAACAGTGGTAAAGAGAACATGGTAATTGTTAAATGAACCCATTGTTTGCTACAGGGTGTTTTTTGCTGGAAACCAGAAGTAAACACCAGTTGCCCCCTCCCCCGCAAAAAACCATTGCAAATCGTGGTCACTTGACCCCGGGGCACTACAAATGAGCACCTGAAATGTGGTCACTTGACTCTGACTCTCTCTCTCTCTCTCTCTGTGTGTGTGTGTGTGTGTGTGTGTGTGAGAGAGAGAGAGAGAGAGAGACAGAGAGGGAGAGAGAGAGAGAGAGAGAAGGAGAGAGTATGTGTGTGAATGAGACATCAGAACTTCAGAACTGGGTCATAAAGTAGCTTTTGTGAGGGTCCATTGTCAGGTGCAAGAAAATCAGGAACCAGAATAGAGTTCAAAAGTACTATGAATTCATTTCACGCAACCTATAGACAAGACTCTGATCTAATGGTCAAGGTGAATTGGCACCAGATAAAGAGTCCATGGACTTCAACGCGGGTGGGCTTAGATCTCTTATGAGAGCATAGAGACTCCAAACTGATGGTGCATTTGACGCCACCCTCGGGCTCAGCCTAGTATTCCCTTACATCCATCTGAACTTTGAACAGTAGCTAAGCCACTGGTCGTAAGTCCAGAACTGCCTGTATTTAACCCCACAGATATACGGCTGGATAACTACCGCAACCTGTTATGTGAAAAGGTCACCAAAATGAGCAGTCTCATGCACTGCATCCTGCCGTCAACCTCACCATCTCTTCAAGTGGTTGTAAGTGGGAGTAAGGCACTATTGCGTAAAAGAGCAAAATGCCCAAAACATCCTCCCCTCTCCCAGCACCTTTTTTTTCCCTGGACTTGCCTGTTTAACGTTAAGACCTACTGTATTATCTCAATAATCGACTTCCATATGCAGAAAGATGTAAACCTGTGTTAGAAAGCAGAACGGCTAAAAAAAAAAAGGAGTTCCCAATTTGGAACTCTTGGAAATCCTCTCTTCCTTCACTTCCAGAAGATGAGGACTAAGTGACAGGCCCGACAATTTCTGCCAGCTGGCAAGTGGAACAAGGTGCAGTGAAGTCTGGCATGTTTAATTCATATTTGGAGCCTTCATTCCGTATTCCAGCATGGTCCAGTGCCCAATTTGATTGACTCCAGATATTCGTGCCAGGTGAAAATTGCAATTATAGCTGCCACAGCAAAGATGAAAAGTTAATATGGAGAAGAGCAATGCAGCTCACAAGCAGAGCAAAATTCTCAAGCATCGGAACGGTGAGCTTTGCGTCTGCTCTCGGAAGAAGAAAAGAGTTCTGCTGTGGAAGCGTCAAAAAAAAAAAAAAGGCTTTCTGAAAGACCAGGAAAATAGGAAGTGCTATTGAATTAGTCTCAGTTGCATTTAGGAGGACACGTAATTATGGGCACAAGAAGAGAACAGGTCAGATCATGCAAGATATTGCTTGTACCTAGTTAGATTATCTGTTCATCTAACTTGATCACTAGCCTGCTGGTAATATGATCTTGGAAAGAAGCCATCTTTTTCCCTTTCAATTCACAGGTGATGTAGACTGAAGGTGGGATCTTCTATACGAGGCCTCTCCAAATTTGGCAACTTTAAGACTGGTGGACTTCAATTTCCAGAATTCCTCAGCTAGCCGGCGCGGGAGTTGAAGTCCGCAAAGTCTTAAAATTGCCAAATTTGGAGACCTCTGTTCTATACAAAGTGTATGTTTTTTGCTTCTCTCCCACAGATACTCTATCCCAGTGATGGCAAACCTTTTAGAGACCGAGTGCCCAAACTGCAACCCAAAACCCACTTATTTATCACCGGGTGCCAGGTGGGCGTGGCCCACTGGGTGGTCGTGGCTGTGGTGGTGGTGGCAGATTGGGTGGGTGTGGCCAAAGTGGGCGTGATCACCTCGATGTTGCTTATGGGGAGGGACGCCTGTGGGGGCCGGGCAGGGTTGGGGGAGATCCAGGGGGTCTCTGGCAGGTAGGGCGGTTGGCAGGAGGCACGTCCTGCTGGGTGAGGCGAGGCAAGGCGAGGGTGCCATTGTCACAGGGCAAGGTGAGGCAGGGGCCGGGGCGGCTGCTGCCTGATACCATCAGCCCCTGCATACAGAGGCTAGTGAGCGCACGCGTGCTGGGATGCATCTGGCCATGTGGGACCTCGGCGAGTTAGTGGGCGGCTGGTTGAAGAGGGACGGTTGCCATCTCCAGGGCATGGCGCGCGTGCCCACAGAGAGGGCTCTGAGTGTCGCCTCTGGCACACGTGCCACAGGTTCGCCATCACTGCTCTATCCACATCCTCCACAAGCATTCATAAGTATTTCAGCTGATTCCACATGGACATTTCTTATATTAATTCAGAACATTCACTCATATAGCAAAACAACTACTACCAAAAAATTCACCAAGACCTTGAAGTATAAGACAACAATCAACTATAAAAATGAAGACAACTCAACTGAGGAGTTTCCACACACAATACAAGTAACAAATAATGCTGAAGAGTGAATTAAAAAAAACCCTTTTCATGGAATGTCTTTGGATATAGGGCGTACAATGAAAGAATTCCACGAAGAGCCATCCGATTATGTGACTCATTGATAAAAGATAAAGGTTTCCCTTATCCAGTCGTGTCCGACTCTGGGGGACGGTGCCCATCTCTATGTCTTAGCTGAGGGAGCCAGTGTTGTTCAAAGACATCTCCACGGTCATGTGGCCAGCACGACATCATGCCGCAGCGCAAAGTGTGCGGTGAAACATGGAACTCTGCTACCTTCCCACCGAAGTGGTACCTATTTATCTACTCGCACTGTCATGCTTTAAAACTGGTAGGTGGGCAGGAGCAAAAATGGGAGCTTGCTCCATCATGCGGTGCTCAGGTCTCAAACCCAGTGTCATGGTTCCGACAGATGAAATTCGTCAAAGAACTTCGAGGCATTGTTTACCTTAAAGAATCTTTATTGGAGTAGCATAGCTTCGGCACTAACATAGTTGAAGCCAAAAACTGGATTCCCCTCCCCTGAGCACATAGTATCAAAACACAATTCCCTCCTCCAATTAACAGTCATAAATCACATTCTCCAATTAGCTTGAAATGCAGGCTTTCCCTCCTGTTCTGCAACCTGCCAATTCTTATCATCTCTTATTTCAAGATCTGAATTCACACACTAGTACAATATTGTTATGTCTAACTAATTCCCACCACATTCTGCCTCCTCCCCCAGCATCATCTAATTCTAAGAGTAAAGCATAAGAAAGAAAAAGGCTGCATCTTCATATGTTGTCAAAGCAAGAACCTCCAATGTTAGCAGTGTTGACACCCGGGCTGTCAGCTTTTCAGCTGATAAGCTCAGCTTTTTAACTGCTCACGCCAGGCGCACGGGGTTCGCGGTGACATTGGCTGCCCCTCCCGCCCCATCTTGAAACACGGACCAAGGAGTCTAACACACGCACGAGTCAGAGGCTGCAGACGAAAGCTCGTGGCGCAATGAAGGTGAGGGCTGGCTCATTGATATCTATATTAAACAAATCCAATAAGAACGTCATTACTCCTAGACTGTGGTTTTTCAAGACCTTACGAAATATCATGGCTCTGATGACTCTCTACCAAGTCTCTCCTTTATGTCTAAAACACAATTATTATTCTGTGACCAAACGTATTTCTGAAATGAGGGAATGCATGCACGCACGTACAGACACAAGTACACAATCAATTTTGGGTGTGATAAAACTCTCCAATGATTTTCTACATGGCTACTTCTGCTACAGAGGAAGACAGAATCCTTTGA